TTGTGTTTAGTCAGAAGCAAGCCTCAATTAGCTCAGTGATGCTTACTTATTCAGGGGTCATTTTGAGCCGGAACGAAGGGAATGCCGTTCCAGCAATAAACAGTGATGGAAGACATGCGCCCTGCACCTGCCCACCTGCCCACCTGCTCCCCCCACTCAGGTCACCCGCAGCCCAATCTCCATGACCCTCGGAAGGATGGCTCAGCATGTACATGGCTGCTCACCACTGCCTGCTCAGCAGAAGAGTCCTTCCAAGGCGGCTGCAGCTGGGGTGGCTGCAGCCGGAGCAGCAAACCTCTGCCAGTCATGCACAGACAGGCAGCTGCGGCCAAGAGGGCCGCCGCCGCCGCCATGGGATTAACTGATGGCACCCTCTGGGCATCATCACCACTAGACTCCGAGTGAAGTGTGGGGTATAAATCCAATCTCTTCTTCTTCCTTCTATCCTAAGATATCTTTCAGCCAGAGCAACCATATTTTCTCCAAAGGAGCAGCATATTCTGCATCTGGAGGAGGAATGGGAGAATTGTACTGCAAGCCACCTGTGGCCTCCCTAGCCTGGCCGGGGGGGGGTCTCCTGTGTTTAAAACCAGCGAGCCAGGGAGCAGCAGCGGGCAGCCAAGCGTGACTCTTCCGGTGGGGAGGTGCTGTCAGTTCATCCCACAACTGTGGTGGTGGTGGCGGCTGCCCTCTCAGCCACAGCTGCCCATCTGCACATGGCTGGCAGGGGACTGCTGCTCTGGCTGCAGCCGCCATTATCCATTGGGCCCCCGGTGGGCCGGGGCGAGGCCACTTGGCCCAGCCTTGGTCGGAGGGAGGACTCCTATGCTGAGCAGGCAGTGGTGGGCGGCCATGTGTGCACTGAGCCAGCCTTCCGAGGGCCACGGACATTGGGGTGATGCCTCTCATGCACTCAGGGAACTGAATCTGAGACTCCCTGCATGCCAAGCATATGCTCTTCCCCATCCAGGTATCTCATTTGTTGGTCTTAAAGGTGCCCCTGGACTCTGAGTCCCAAATGCAGTTAGTGAATGTTAGTGCTTACCAGCATATGTCCAGCAAGCAGAAACATAGTCAGTGGGAAGTTCGGTGAATTTCCAGGCTTGTCATATATGCCAGTGAACACTCACAACACCTATGTTCACTAGCATTACATCTCAGTGTTTGTAAATGTCTAAATTCACCTGGATTCATAGAAGTATCTCCTTAATTTTGGACTCTCGCCATAACATGTCAAATGCAGGGGCTGCAAGTCGCTCTGCTGCAGGGATCCAAACCCATTAAACCTGACCGACTCTGTTACCATTAGTCCTATTCCCATCTTGAGTAAACATAAATGCTTGGCATTTAGGAAGCACTTTGAAGTGCCTGAAGCACTTTGGCACATGTTGTCAGTAATTCTCAAAACAGTCCTGAAAAGTAGCTTAATATTGTCCTGTTCCCCATTGCAGTTGCAGGGCTGAGGCCAAATGCCCCTAGCTTGTCAAAGGACACATACTCAATTCATTGCGAGCCAAAACCCTTCTTCTGGGTGTGGAACAGCGGTCACTGGGAATGTGTGTGCGGGGGAGGTATTTGTGAAGTTCCTGCATTGTGCAGGGGTTTGGACTAGATGACCCTGGAGGTCTCTTCCAACTCTATGATTCTGTTCTGATTCGGGCCAGTAGGGAAGTATGTAGCCAACTGCCATCTATCATCAATGGCAGCTGAAAATACATTGGGTCAATCCTCACCCATAATAGAAGCAGCACCTGTAGCTATATGAAAGGAATTCTCTCAGTGGCCATTTCCAGCCTTCAAGCAGAGGTCATTTCGGGGGGGAACGCGGGGGAACACACTTCCCCCGGGTGAGGTGCAGGGGGTGGGGCACATGACAAAGCCCCACCCCCTGCTTCCAGCCGCCCCGCTTCCAGCCCTCATTCAGCCAGGAGGAGGCAGGAGAAGAGGGAGGGTAAGTTGCTTCCTCCCCACCTCTCCCCACTCCTGCCTGCCTGGGGCCAGGGAGGGCCTTGGCGGGGCTTCCTCGCTCTCCCACTGGCCTTGCAGGTCCACCGCCAGGCCCCTGATGTCAGGGGGTGTGACATATGCTAATGAGTTATGCTGATGAGTTCCCCTAGCTCTTTTTCTACGAAATGACCCCTGCCTTCAAGCATTTGTTTCTGTCAGTAAAATGTAGGGGGAGAGAGCATGTCAGGCCTGACAGCAGCCACTGGACAACTTGACAACATGCAACTTGCATAACTCATGCAGGCCCAGCTGCTTGCTCCTGCTCAACAGCTGCTGCCCATGAAGTGTTGTGAAGTGGTTAGTGTTCCAGACAAGGATTTGGGAGACCCAGGTTTGAATCTGAGTTTGGGAAATACCTGGAGATTTTGGGGGTGGAGCCTGAGCGGTGGGTGTTGCCTTCTGACACACTTCTGGTGATGTCAGGGGGTGTGGCATATGCAAATAAGTTATGCTAATGAGTTGTGCTAATGAGCTCCTGCACCTCTTTTTCTACGAAATGACCCCTGCTTATGCTAAATGTATGTAGTCCTGCAGCCTTAAAGTACTTATTAGCAATAAAGTACCTGCAGTCACCAGGGCTGTGCAAAAGATAGAAATACAAGGCAGAAATGACACCCCTCCCCCAAGATCTCTTTTCCAGTTTTTAAAAGAAGATTCAATCCTGGCGCCACCTACCCCCACAGGGCGGTATATTACACAATGCAGCATGTGAAGGATTCTGACGAGGTCCCGGTTTACTTTCAGCCCGTTTCTTTGTCTTTCTCACACATACATTCTACATAGATGGAAGACTTCTGAAATTACTTCTGTGGCATGTTGCTCCTAATTCAAGTCTGTCTTCTTGAATTTTGTAGTACTTATTTATAAGTAAATTCAAAGAAGAGTCTATGCATATTTGTTGTCATCTTATGGTATAGTTTTTATTTATATTAGGCTATATGTCCATGACCCTGCAATTTGGTGTAACCCTGTGAACTGGACAGTCCACTTTCTGTCCAGTAAATAAACTGAGAAAATACTGGGCATGTAAATACTGGGCCCTTTAACCACTGCAGCCATAATCCATGCATGTGCTCTTTTCTCTGTGGCTTGATAAAGTGGCAACATCTCCATCTGCTTGTTCTCCATTGCAGCCAACAAGGTTTGAAAAGAACCAAATCCGCTACTCAGCTGCCAGGCAGGACACTCCCAGAGAAATCCTATTGGCTCAAGAAAGCTGGAAAGGGAGAGACTTTCGCAGCCAACCAATCAGCTTCCTATGTTGGTTCCAGCTGACTGTGGGGGTAGGTGGCGCCAGGATTGAATCTTCTTTTAAAAACTTGAAAAGAGATCTTGGGGGGGGGGGGGTCATTTCTCCCTTTTATTTCTATTTTTTGCACAGCCCTGGTGACTGCAGTCACCGAAGGGTCTCTGGGCGGTTTACATAGTGGTTCTAACCAACCAATTAACCTAACTAGGGCCACATTGTCTACAGGTTGGTGACTGCCTACCAGCACCCCAGGCTAGTTGTCATCCGGCTTCCTTCCGGGCCTTCAGATATTGGCGTCCTGGTGCCCTTTCTGGAGCCGATCTTTCCCGAGCAGCTTCCTCCGGCAGGTCTCGTCTTGGCACGTGGCTCTGTGTTGGCTGCAGTTCCAGCTACTGTCCACAGGTGGCTCCGCCGCGCTGCGCTGCACGTCACCACGTTCTCCAAGTTTCCACTTCTCCGGACTCCGCCTCCGACGTTGCTCCACCGGGTCGCCAGGAACTGCTCCGCCGTCATTGTTGCCGCTGCCGCCGCCAAACTCTCTACCTCACAAGGAGGAGGGGTGCCCCCTGCCACCTAGGGCAGGTACCCACTTTATCTACTTGCATTTATGATGCTTTCGAACATGCTGTTGTTTGCTTCAATGGGTTGTTGTAAGAAATAGACAATATTGTCTTTTGTAGTACTTGTATTGATACAAATAACAAGGATTGTATGTGATATAAGTTCTATTGAGCACCATTACATTACTTATAGGTAAATTCAAAGAAGAGTCTATGCATATTTGTTGCCATCTCATAGTATAGATTTTGTTTATATCAGTTCACAGGGTTCCCAGGTCCCCTCATCACACTGTCACGGGGATTTGGGGGGCATTCCAGGACATTCCCAATGCGATGTCACCCAGAAGTGATGTCATCACATGGGGGACGTCATGCAGCAACACTCTGGTTTTTGGGTAAAGCTCTGGTAAAACCAGCCTCAAACCATAGAGTTTTTCCCTCAAAGCAGAGTATTGCCACATGACATCCCCGGTGTTATGATGTCACTTCCAGGTGACGTCATTGTGTTGGGGACGTCGCACAGTGGTGCCACTGTTTGGGGGTGGAATTGCCCTCACTGGCCAGCTGGCTGGCAGTGGGCAGAAGCCCCCAAAATCAGGGGAACCCCCATCAGGACCTGGGGACTGGCAACCCTACCATCTCAAAAGTGGACACCTGGCAACCCTACCTGGAAGTGATGTCACGCTGTCATTCTGACAATGATTTCCAGTGCATTTTCCACCCGCTACCCTACTGAGTGGCAACAGGGGGTCAGGGGCTGCTGTGGGAAACCCTACCTCCCGGCACTGTAGTGTCAATCCACATTGGGCCCTGCATACCTGGGAAGCACAGAGCAGTCCCAGGACATGGCTTTGAATGTACCCAGGGATGTTTCCTTTAGAAACTTCAACATGCACTTTCTGGTAGTCTGGAATGCCCAAATCTGGGGGGCAATCTGGCAGGGGAGAATTTCACAAGCATCCCAAATGATTACAAACTGCTTTCACATGATATAAACCCTCTTCCTTTCTAAAAGTTGTAGAAGATTGTGAAAAAGAGCTGTTCTGTCATCGTTGCCCAATGAGGAAGTCTCTCTCGTCCTCTGAGGCTACTCAGAGGATGTTGTAGGAGATGAGTCAGACCAGAAAGAATCACTCAGGTGCTATATAAGCTGAGGATGAACGAAAGATGAGGGGGGAAATAAGGATTGCTGAAGCAGCAAGACCCATCAGTGAGCATAAAGATGGAAAGATTTCAGCTTCTACTGCTCCTGCTACTGAGTTCCATGTATTCCACCGCCTTCCCAGTGGATGCCAGCAGCAAAAGTGGAGACATGCAGTTAGCTGAGGTAAATATGAGCTCTGAATGGCTGAAATTCTAACTGAACAAAAATGCTTTTCCTCCCCTCTGCAACCATTTTTTTCTCCAAACCAAGACCATCTTTGGAGCCTTCGGTAGCCTATGGGGAGCTAGAGGCAGGGGTCTCCTATGGGTCTGATTGATAAGGTTTCAGCCGGCTGCTCGAATAGTTTGGTGTTTGAAGCGGCCCATGATTTGTAAAGTTTCTAATCTGTTGCCCACATTTGGCCCCAGTAGCCTAGGTGGGCTTATCAACATTTTAAATAAATAAAAAATATCTGAAGGAATAAAGCTGAGCTGGCAATAAAACATTACTTTGAGGTAGACACCTCCAGAGCCAGCCCACTGCAACTGTATTCTTTAGACCAGCTGTAATTCCAGGGAATCCCCAGGCCTAGCAATAAAACATTGCTTTGAGATAGACACCTCCAGAGCCAGCCCACTGCAGCTGTAATTCCAGGGAATCCCCAGGCCCCACCTGGAGGCTGGCAACCATAGTGTCAAGCCAGCCCTTCCCCCACAGTGGTGGCAGATGCAGCAAGCACCACCACCACCCAGCAAAGAAAGGGGGTGCTGCTGCACCCAGCCTGGTTGGCTGGCTCATGCTTCCTTATTTGGGGAGGTGGGGCCCACTTGCTTCCCTGGGGCTGGCTTGCTGGGCGGAGATGTTGGCTGGTCCTCTCTTGCTTGGAGAAGTGTTACTGATGCCTGGCCAAGCCATGCATGGCTGGCTGGCTCACTGACCCCCTGGTTTGGCAAGTGGGCAGGCTGCCTATCTCACTGGGGGGCTGGCTTACCCACCCTCCCATCCTCTCTTTTTTGGGGAGGCTGGGGGCAGGCCAGGGGTGCTGTTCCCTACCGGTCTTGCCCCAGAGCAGTGCCTGTTTGCAGTTCAGTTGCGTAGCCCCAGTGTCACCACTCCGCAGCAGAGAAGAGGGTGGCTTGGCTGGGGCAGCTCCCCTGCAGCACAGGATGGGGTAGGCGAGGTCATGAAGCTGCCCTAGGCTGAATCAGACCACTGGTCCATCATGACTGGTGTTATCTACTCAAACTGGCAGCAGCTCTCCAAGCTCTCCAGCTGAGGTCTTTCATGTTGCCTCCTGCCTGGTCCTTTTTAGCTGGAGATGCTGGGGGTTGAAACTGGGACCTTCTGCATGTGAAGCAGATGCTCTGTCACTGAGCCACAGCCTCTCCCCAAGAGAGGTTAGTCATTTCTCATGCCACAAGCCCTTGGGCTGACCCTGGGTATCTCAGTGTTTTCTTAGCCGATTGTACATTATATCCTCCCTTACAGAGGAGAAAGTTCCTCCAGTGAAAAGAGCCTTCCTTCAATTTTGGTGGCTCTTCTGCTGGAAGAAGAGAGACTTGTACTGTGGGAAAGAGGTTGGAGGAAGGCTTCAGACTTTGCTTAGTGTAGGGCTGCCAATTACCCCCGGGGGGCGGATTTCCCCCCACTTTGGAGGCCCGATTTCCACTGCCGCGGAATCAGGCCACGGGGGAAACCCCACGCCAGTGTGCACATCAGCCGGATGTGACGTGCCGACACCGGGCACGCTGGGAGTGGGGCCACAGCCATCTGAGGGGAAAACTCCAGTGCTCAAGACACCGTCTGGGAGCCCCCCACCACAGAACAAAAGGTATTTGGCAACCCTAGCTTAGTGAAGTGGAAGAATAAAGGTCACTGTCTGTAGTAGAGAGATAAATGATGCTAGTGTGTGAACACAAGCACTGGCAGCTTGTAATGCATCTGTTCCAAGGACAACCTTGGTTCGTCCAGCTGTGGCTAAAGTCTTTAACAAGGCTGGCCAAACTTGCTTCACGTAAGAGCCACATAAAATAAACATCAGATGTTTGAGAGCCGCAAGACATGAACAAATATCACACACATGTTTTTACTGGAAAATATGCAAATTTGCTTTTTATTAACATTAAATGAGCTTGCCAAAAATAAAAACAAAAGGGGGTAAAAACCGATATTGATAATGGCATTTATTTGTCCAATGATATTTATTTGTCTAAGAATGAGAGAGGTGGAAAGAATGAAAGAGGTGGAAGGAGAGAGAGAGAGAAAGAGAGAAATGAAGAAATAAATAGATGGGGAGGGAGAGGAAGGAAGAGAGAGAGAAAGAGAGAAAGGAAGGAAGGGAGAAAGAGAGAGAGAAAGGTGGAAAGAAAGCAAATGGATGGGGGAGGAGGTAAGGGTGAAAGAGAGAGAGAAAGAGGTTGAAAGAAAGCAAATAAATGGGGGGAGGTGGAAAGAAATCAACTTTAACTTCAAATGTGTTCTCCAGCTAAAGAGTCATTCTCCTCCCCCAAGGGGCGCACCCGGGGGGGGGGGGGGTGAGCGGAGAACACATTTAAAGTTCAAGTTGCTTTCTTTCTCTGCTCCTCCGCACCTCAAGCCTACCAGGGAGAGGAACACTGGCTGGGAAAGGGATGACTGATGAGGGAGGCATGCCTCCCCTTAATTTTCCTAGCCGCCCTGCCGGGAGCCACACAATATGTGTGAAAGAGCTGCATGTGGCTCCCGAGCCGCAGTTTGGCCACCCCTGGTGTAAACGGCAGGGCTCTACTGGTAGCAGGAGCTCCTTTGCATATTAGGCTACACACCCCTAGTGTAGCCAATCCTCCAAGAGCTTACAGAGCTCTTCTTACTGGGGCTACTGTCAGCTCCTGGAGGACTCGCTACATGC